ATACATGGGTGTCGGACTCTCCGGCTTGGGTGTAGCGGTGGCTCTGGCTTTCTGTTTGGTGGAGCGGCATCAGTCCAAGACGCCGGAAAAGGTGGCGCAGGAAAAGAGCGAAACGCAAGAGGAGTATGTTTAGATATCTTCAATGGCAAGTGTTACCTAAATACAATACTGAATTTCTCATCCGACCATCCTAGAGTGCCACGCCATGTTTTGATGAGTTGGATCGCCGCTGTGGATGTCGGGCCCGAGAATCGATAGATATGGCTCCATGAGAAACTGATCCCAGTCCCCACCCCAGCCAATGTCCGGTAACGCGGGGTTGGCCTCGGGTTCCGGCGGCGACTGGAAGGGTTCGTAGCCCGCCTCGACAGCTTCCAGCTGGATCAGCTCCTTTCGCTTCTTTGCTATATTGAGGCTGAGAAGATGCCGCGCTATTGACAATGCCTGACGGGTCAGTCCTGTGTCCGCAGCCCTGACCAGGTTCTCCAACCCCTTGAAGGCCGCAGGGATGTGAGCGGAGGCGGCCGGCGTGTCGATGGCCAGCAAGACACAGACATACTGGAAGGCGCTGCCTATGACGTTCCAAAGCAGGCGACCCTGGTTGGCGAGCTGCTCAGCCGCCTCCACTGCGTCGTTACCGCTATCAATGATGAGTTGGATAATCTCGTCCGTGATGCCTGTCTTGAGCTGATAGATGCGTCGATAGAAGCAAAACGCAAGGTCCGCCTTCGTCGCCACCAGGAACGGATGGGTGAGTTGGAGTTTACTCAATGCCTTGAGGCGCTCAAATAGCTCCTCCCTCGGCGTTGGAGGCTGACAGTCGAGCTGGAACGGCGAGTTGGGCGACGGGATCATCTGGACTATTTGCACAAACTGGTCGGCAACGGACCCTTGTATCGGGATGATAGCCTGACAAGTCACGGATCCAAACCTGACAGCCGAACGATCGTACTCATAGGACAGCATGTGATGCGCGGCCCACGAGATCCAGAAGATTCGCCTCAGCCGGTCCGCATCATGTCCAACGACCGCGGCGCCGGCGACAGACGCCATCCTTTTGATGTTCTCTTCCTCGTGCAGCCCGACCACTTCGCAAAGGTGCATGAGCGTGCACGACGCGACCCAGGCATTACTGGGGCGGGTTGTGGCCCGTAGATAAAATAGCCGCATGCCCCACGCGATGATGTGGTCAATGCTCAGCATCCGCATAGAGGCTGGATCGTCGAGAATCGCTTTGGCGTACTGCACCAGGTCGGACTCCCGCGGGTATCTGGTTGGGGCCAGGAACGACCCACAAGCAGCGACGCCAGCGGCGACAGCGCCAAAGGCGACCGCCGTGCTGCCGGAGCCATGGTAATAATCCCGACATCGCTGGGCGTAGATTCTCGGGTCCATGTAGTCGCCGATCGGGCCCATTGCAGAGAAGTACACATTCGAGTAGAAGGCGAGGTCGTCCTCCGAGATGAGTTTCCCCAGGAAGCCATAAGCGTTGGAAGCCTCCTCGGGGCGGATCCCAAAGTTGTAAGCGAACGACTTGACCTCGGGAGGGCTGTCGGAGCCGAGAGCCACGCCCAGGATGTGCGGGAAGGCCATGGCCGCCGATGCTCCGGTGTATCTGGACTTCTGCTCGTCGAAGATTCCAGCCCCAGCGGTAGGGCTCTCTGTCGACGGGCTGTCAGCGCCCTGGGGAGCTCTCGCTACATGAGGCTGGCTGTCTGGGTTGCGCGATTTGGCGCTGACCCCGCTCGCCATACTACTCCCCCCGTCAAGGATGACGCGCTTTGCTAGTGGTGCAGCGTGCCCGCCTCCACTCCCACTGCTAGTAGTGTCGTCGTCGGCATACCTGCAGTTATATTCGTAGGTGATGCATGTGCCACAGGGATACTCCGCGTCGCATTTTCGCTTGCGCTGGTGACAAGGGATGCATGCCTTCTTTGCACGCTTCCGCTTGCTCACTATTGCCGACATGACTAGTCAGTTGCTAAGTCATAATCATGGAGGCGTATCACAAGACGGTCGGGGGGTAGTTTGATCAGCTCCCCTGCAAATGACATATGTTGATGTGTTGTTGGGTGCACCTGTTGGAATACAGCTGACAGGTGGGGACCGGAGGCTGGAGTTACTATCTCCCGAAATAATCAGTCACGTGCTATCCATCTCATTGGTGCATGTGTATGATCTACTTCTTTTTTTTGTTCTAAAATATGGGGCCGGAAAACGGCCCCATAGGAAACCCCGAACCAAAAATAGTCTATCCATATATGGTTCGGCCGAAAACGATCTTTTATTCTTTTATTGACTCTCAACAAAATTTCCCTTTCACTTGCTGGATCAAATTTAGAAGACAGATTCAATTTCAATCTAATCCGATCAAAGACGTAAGTAGAAAACCCACTCAAATATCTATTTCTGGGTGCACCGGGCTATACCGCCAAGCGCAAGAAGCTCTGTATCAACAGTCGAAACCAGGTCAACTGATCCGATAGGCCTTGCGCCCACTCGGGTGGCTACTTCAAAGTGAAGAATACTATACCGAAGATCCCTAACCAAGGAACGTATCTTCTCCGTACCTAGGTCGCTATACGTACTTGATTTCCTCTGCCAGGTGGGGCTTTTCTATCTGAGCTGCCGCCGCCTTTATGAGGCGCTCAGAGTCAGGCTCACTGAGTAGATTTCAGTCCAGGCTCAGACTCACTGAGTTGCTCAGACCAGTCAAGTGATTGGTCAGTAAGGTCCAATGAACGCTGAGTGAGCGCTCATTGAGTCTGATTGGATGCTCACTGAGCAGTCTACACTCAGACCGTACCCAAAGAAGCGCTTTGCCCCACAATACTATTTACTCTGCGACTACTTTTTGATGGCCTTCAATTTTCACCATGCTCCTCCTATTTCTGAAGGTGCATGATCTTCAGTCTCATTCTGCTCTCAAAAATAGCGCACTCAGCCATGATGACGCAAAACTGGAAGGCACAGAGTCCATCTGTCACGGGGAGGTGCCGGAGAACAGTCTTGGGTCATATCAAATTACTAAATTATAAATTGGAACTATTTTCCTGCTTCAATCCTCCAAAATAGCTTTCTCTGTTTTCTATCTCATCCTTTCAGATTCTCATCCTTTTTCTTGCATTGCGTGGGAAACTAAACTGGCCATTAGTAGAAAACAGTTGTTTGCTCAATAAGATGAGCTCGCCAAAGAATAGCGACACAATCAACTGCAAAAGGAGCGGCTATGTTTTTGGCGCTCATGCAGATGAGGATTCTATCCGAGAGAAAGATGAAAGGGTGCCCAAGACCATGAGGATGTACTGCCAAGCTATTAATCGTTGGATGAGGTGAGTTGACATGCACTTGTACGTGGAAAATGCCGGGACAATGGGTTACTGACTGCTGCAGGCTCGTTGAACAGTATGGGATCGAGGGCTACAAAACGGGGCCAGGCTGTGCGATCCCAGACCATACACTCATCAAAGACTTTCTTCGGTAGTACAGTCACTTCGCGCGTGGGACAAAAAGTAAAAATGGACGGCCAGGGATGACATCGGTTCTCAATTGCGCAGAAAGGCTCTTTGGAGGATTTGAAGAGAAAATGCAAATCAACATTGTGTTGGAAGACCGCAAAGAGATATCCTGTGTAAGCCCCTATTTGGATTTTATTTTCTGTGTTCCGCAATGAAAGCCGAGCTAATTGCGACATTGCAGGACTAAAGAAATACCAGAACCGCTGTGTACGAGAGAAGCGAGACCAAAGAATCCTCAATAGGGGCAAAGCAGAGCTGGTGATATGTGATAACGACGTTTCCACGCGGGCTCAATCCTTACTTATGCCCGAACTTGCCCACATTTCAACTCTCGTGTCTTCTGACAGGGAGCTCTCGTTTGATGAAATGCTTCTTTTCGTGGACGACCTAAAAACATATTGTGAACGCGATGTCGACGTGGCTTATCTTCCACGGGAAAGCCCCATCCAAGGTCGCTGCCCCCGCTAGAGATTGTCTCCAGGAAATCAAATGGTGAGTGGTCCCAAAATATAATTCTGAAATACATGCTGATTTTCCTAGTATGAAAAGGTCTGACAGAATTGCTCACATTCACAACTGTGTTCGACGTGAGAAGGCTCTGAATCTTACAATCTCAGAATCAAAGTTGAAATTCTGTTACGAGTGCATGAGATGGTTTGAATCAAGCCAATGGCGAGATTACTGCTCTTCTCATATTCAGTCATGGAGAACACAGCATTGTGAATTGAATATGTACCGAAACACAGGGATCGGGCCTGGCTACTGCCCCTTTTGCTTGTGGGACACAGAACTTGAAGCAGAAGACCGATTACATCAATGGTTGAAAAGTGGCAATCTGAAGCAACGCATTGAAGAAAAGCATATACCTGGAAGTCAGGGGCCTGGAGCGGAACCAATTTGTGGATGTGGCCAAGCTTTTGCCGATGAGCCTGACCTTCGACATCAGAGAAGGCCACAGACCAAACCGAATCCGAGAATGTGTTGGTTCTCAAATTGTCAGGATTTAGTAAAGATTGCGATCCCACGATGATAGTCCCGCTCTATTGCTGTATCTCGGTCGGGCATCCTCGGCCCTAAGCGGTTTCTGCACACGAGCACTGTCGTGGGCGATAATCTTACTGCCAGAAGACCTGCTTCAATAGGTATTTTGTCGCGATTATGGTATCTAGATACTACTTTTTAATACAAAATGACCAGATGAAGGAGTGCCGCCATTAGGTACAGGCTGCTGTACAAAGCTGAAAAACCTCCTAAACTATTCAAAGAAAGCAGAACGTTTTTACCGTCTCCTGGAAACAGTGAGTGAAGATCTAGACACGGCAAAAGAACTAAAAGAGCCACAGATATTCACATTTGCAACGCCGCCAGAGACAAATGCATGCACATAACCTGCGTGGGACATTCTATTGAGCCTTCCTGCCTAAGAGCGCTCACAGTCATATGCCTTGTGCATCTTGTGGCCTCGAGTACACATTTTTCAAATTATCCAACCTCCAAATCCAGATCTACTTCGTCCGGTCGTTGCAGCCCTTGGCCCTGCCAACGCTCCATCGCTGCAGTGAAAAGCTTGACCTGGTCCTTCTTTCCATACATAGGATGATCTTTGCCACGCCTCCACCGACTTTCTCTTGTTTCCATCAACCAGGCCTCTTCATCGTGATTGGACCTAAAATCGCTTTCGAAGACATAAGCACGTGTCTCGCAGTTGTACCATCCAGTACCTGGGTGGCGATATGAGTCCTCCCAGTCGTCCGTAAGATAATGCAGAAATCCACCGTGTGTGACGAGAACAATTTCCGCATCGTCATCCCCATTTGAAACCAGCTCCCGTAAAAGCCCGCGCAAAAACAGTCGAGCATCACGGGCTCGAGCTCTGATTGCATCGTTGCTCTGACTATAGCGGCTTCCAGCCTTCTTTTGGTTCCAGCCATCTTTCACCAAACAAAGGTCCACAGGCCATTTCTCCTTTTCCACGATGCGTCGTAGGATGTCTGGGTCCGAGCCAATGTCGCACGGGTCACTTGACGTTTCCTGAGCGTCAGGGAAGGCGATAATTCTTGGGGATTTGAGAGTCGACGTCAGAGCTGTCTGGAAAACCAGAGATGCAGTTTGAAGTGTTCGGCACATAGGTGAAGACAGGATAAGTGAAAATTTCGACTGGTCAAAGAAGGCGCCATTACGAAGGGATTCACATTGACTCTTCCCGGTTGGTGTCAAACGTGGGTCAGGAATGGTATAGCAACCGCCACCCACATTATGAAAGCCTTGCCCATGACGAACGCAATGGATGATTGGTGGCATTGTCTGTAATTCCAAGGTCAGTAGAGCAACAGTAGAGTTTGCAAGTCGACAATGCCAATCTTGACAGCTAGGAAAAAGCCCCTACCGTGATGCTGGGGACGTACGTTTTTTGGAACCAGAATCTTTCGCTAGCAGATTGTATAGATCCTCAGCTTAATGAATGTAAACTGTACTCATTGTCAAGACTGAAGAGCAGCAAGCGTGATGTGTAGTTTAATGCCCAGGGGAAAAACTAACAAATATCATCTTTTTTATTTGCTCATGGTTAATTATTTAGTTAGTCAACTAACTATACACCGTGCTTATAAAGCATACAGTCGCCTTGGAACCACATCAAACAACTAAGCTCACTCTTTTTAAGTCTCCAGGTAGCTAGTGTCTTGGCAGCCTCATTTGGAAAGTTATAGTGGAGAGATTTTCGAAAATTGAACGAATCGGAAGGCCCTTTGGCCCCAGAATGTTAAGCTTTTTAAGTCTCCGAGTGGCTAGTGTCTTGGCAGCCTAATTGGAAAAGTATAGTGGAGTATCTTTCAAAATTGAACGAATCAGAACGGTCCTTCGGTCCCAAACTGTTACAGTTTGATCAATCTATACATTTGAAACAAGTTTCCGACACAAAAACTCTTTTCCATCCTTGTTTTCCTTTCTTGAAGCATGTCATCGAAGAGCTATTGATTCTCAAGCTCTTGAGAATTTCAATCGTTGTGACTGTCACTTACTGTCGGGCGGCTCTAAATCTCCATCAGGTCTTGAATTTTTTGGCGCTGAGGACTTCCGTGGCAGTCAATATCATCGGCATACCTGGTGCCTTGTTTACTTAGCTGGCAAGCGTATTTGGCGCCCTTCAAACTACGGAGACATTGAAAATTCACAACATGGCTTTCGAGAATCTACGCGGAGCGTTCAAAACGCCGTCGAAAAACACCTCTCGGTTAAACGTGCCAGAAATTCCTCAGGATGAATCACCATCTGCTCGGATTGAGCGTCTTGGACGTGAACGTCCATCGGCATTTCCCAATCTGTGGACTGAACTCTTCTGCTTGTTTGGCATAATTATGTCACAGTTCTTGACCGAGTTCTTCGTCTCAGGCTTCACGGTCATCTTGCCACCACTGGCCCGAGAGCTGAAAATTCCACAGGCCTCGCAGGTATGGCCTGCAACTGCCTTTTCGCTTGTGATTTCGAGCACTTTGCTCATATTTGGTCGTCTTGGTGATATGTGGGGAGGATACCCTCTCTTTTTCGCTGGCCTTGCGTGGCTTCTTATATGGAGTCTAATCGCAGGATTCAGTTCTAGCCCTGTCATGTTAGATATTTGTCGAGCACTTCAGGGCCTCGGAGCTGCTGCCTTTCTCCCAACGGGAGTCATGATTATAGGCTCACTCTACCGGCCCGGGCCTCGTAAAAACCTTGTCTTTGCAATCTATGGCACCGCGGGTGTTCTGGGCTTCTTTGGTGGCATTGCCATTGCAGGGCTCGTGGGTCAATTCTTACACTGGAGTTATTACTTCTGGATCGGCGCTGCACTTGCAGCGATAACGCTCACGACATCAATATGCGCTATGCCATACTCGACTTTGGCAAATGACTCCCGAAAGAAAGTGAAAATGGACTATCTCGGTGCGATTTGCATCGTTTGCGGACTCGTTCTTACGATTTTCGCGATCACTCAATCTGCACATGCTCCCTCGGGATGGAAAACGCCATATGTCCCGGCAATTTTCCTCTTAGGCATTATTTTCCTTGCCGGGACGTGGTATGTCGAACAGAATGTTGTCTCAGATCCACTTTTGCCTGCATCACTCTTCTCAGTGAAATCAATGACACCTTTACTCATTGCCCTCCTACTTCTCTACGGTACCTGGGGTATTTTCTCCGTCAATGGCTCACTCTACTTCCAAACCGTCTTGTCAGCTTCGCCACTTCAGGTCGTCTTGTGGTACATACCCATTGGCATCGTTGGACTTGTCGTAAGCGTCATTGAAGGGTACATCTTACATCTCGTCCCTGGCCATGTTATTATGATAATCTCAGGCTTAGCCGCCGTTGGATCGCAACTCCTCCTCGCTCTCATTCCACCTAGTGGAGGAAGCTACTGGGCATGGATCTTTCCATCGTCCATTCTCAGCACTATTGGCATCGACCTGTCTACTATCGTGATGACAGTTTTCATTACGACAGTCGTCCCATCTTCGCAGCAGGGACTGGCAGGGGGTGTGTTAAATTCCGTTCTGCAGCTTGGCGTCGCCTTAGTCCTCGGTTTAACAGACATTATTCAGTCGGCCGTGGTCAAGGATAGGGGATTAGAAAAAAGCTATAAAGCAACATTCTGGTTCGGAGCCGGTGTCGCTGGTGCCAGCTTGATAATTCTGATGATCTGGGGCAGGATACCCAAAGCTGTCAGCTCGCTGACAGCCGATGAAGAACAGGAACAGGCTTCTTCGTCCTGATTTGTCAACCATTTCATATCGGCGAGAGGTCAGGAAAGCCGTACCTTGAGAAGGTTGCAGCAAACAGTGAGGCAAGGCAGCTTCGTGTTTTGTACATCATCAGCTCGTTGAATTGGAGGAATGGTCGAAGCTTCCGCAGATTGTCAGGAATGACCTGTTTCAAATTCTAGATAGTTGAAAGAGCTTTTCGTATCAATGTCATGTTGTTCGTTTTCATTTATCATGACGTTGTATCGTGTTCCTTTTGCCCAAGGCACCGGTGCTGGGCCCGTCTATTTATTTGGAAGATCGGCTGTAAAGAGGGGCCACATCAGCTTTTGCGTATAACATCGGTATTCGCATATTTGTTCAGGTTCCAGGTAAATGTTTTGCCTCTTTTATCGTTCAGCCTGTTTTTACGGTGGTTATTCTCGATCATGGAGTTCTAAAAGTGGCGGCAGCTCGAGTTGGTATTCGAGGTTTTTGATGGGGGCGCGCAGCTAGTCGGCACGCACCCTGGGGCGGGAGGACGCACCACGAACCAATCATGACACGGAGAAATGGAATCAGCCCCTGAGTTGCTTTAACAATAGGGAATAGGTACGGAGTATATCGGGGTGTATCCTGAGGTAGGGTTACACCTTTGGAACAAGTTCTCAGAATATCATGCTAACGCGACTGGATCTTTCAGGAAGCTCCCAAGTGGCGTAACAACTGGTGCAAGGGGAAAGAAGATGTGGATGAATTGATTGAGGAGATCAAACAGGTCAAAGCACCAGATCATGATGCTGTCTACGCATTAGATGGCCCATTAGTGCGGCTTTGGAAGCAGACACTACGACAGAACAGGCTGTGATTCGGGAGAGACTGTCATGGTACGTCGGGGATTGACTGAAGACGGACGTATTCAATTTGAATAGGTCTTGCAAGTACTCATCAAACTCCAAATCGCCTAAATCCCACATCCAAATTGAGTGCAATGACCATAAGAAAGTGCTTCGTTGAGAAAGCGCAGTATCAAACGTTCACACATCGTATGCTGGAGGCATCCTTCCAGAATCCTCATACCCAGGTAGCTCGCTTTCTGTCTCGAACATTCCCTCAGGTATTGGTGCGTCATATGCAATATGACCTATGTGCAAAGGATATGTTGCCGCAAGACAATGTCGAACGGGTTTTCGGTCCACCAAGGTCTGGGTTCGTTGAACGAATGTGTCCTCGCCGATGACAATTTCAAGCCTCAGTCGATGGCTCACAGAAATGCCAATCTTTTCATGGGATATCTCATTCACAAAAGTGCTGTTCCTCAATGATCTCTTAGTCTTGGGCTGCGGGCAGTGTAGTTCCATGTCGCTCGTGGCCTTTTGAGCGAGTAATCGAAATGGTACTTGGGCTTGCTTGAAAGTATCTTTGTCTTCTTTCCAGGAAACAAGATCCTCAGGCATCCAATTGCCTCTTATGTTCCCTTTGCAGATTGTACCTATGTACCTCTTATCTGGATTGGCGCCAAGTGGTGATGAAGGGTGCCTGTGTGAAATTTCGACTGCTTCTGTCACTGACCATCTCACTTCGCGGACCACAACTACCTTGATCTCAGAGGGACGACCCCTCTGTACCAGGGGTCCTTCAAGCAGAACGGTTCCGCTGAATGTGTCTTTTGACGTGCAATTGGGCAGGTGCCCAGGCAATAGGAAGAGCCTGGTGCTGAATGGCATTCGTTGGCACCTTCTGAAATGTTCGAAAACAAGCGGAGTACTGGGAACCATCGTACGGCAAATTTGCAGCTCGCGTGTTGCTTCAAGCTTTTCTCCTCCCTCCATCTTTGCATGAACAATCAACGCATATGACGTTGTCATAATTGGAGTGTGTGTTGTCGGGCTCAAGGACGTTGGAACAGCAAGGGAGAAATTTGATAAAGCTTGGTCTCTTTCGTTGGCTGTGGCTGCTCCAGTTGGGCGAAAAATCTCAGCACAAGCCAATACTTCTGCATAAGTAGCTTCTGGCTGCTTTTTTCTCTTCATGAGTTGTGGAATGGCCCTTCGCTTTGTCGATAGCGTGACAAACCGCGTCAGCGAGACTGACACTAACGGTGCCGTCGACTTGCCCCTAAAGCATGCTGATGGCAGAGATATGGCTCCGTAGAGAGAAGGAGTATATGTCTCTCCATAAGGCGTAAAGTAGATGTTGTGTGTAGCTGGCGCGTCTATCTCGAGAGTAGACATGGTGTGAGGCAGGTATGGAGATGAGGGAAGGGTGGAAGAAACTGAAAGAGAGGGGGTTTTGTGCCCACGAAGCCTTCTGACGCGATTTTGATGACGCAAAAATTGAGGATACATCTCATTGCTGGACCATGTGACTATCTAGATGTGCAATGAGCTTAGTCCCAAAGGGGAAGCCAAGAGACAGAGCCCGAGTTGGCTAAATATCAAGCGTCGAGTAGATGTGGGTCTTAAGGATCGAGACCATGATCTATATGTTAGAGCATGTGCATGCTGGCAGAAGGTAGACGCATTATGTTGAAAATCTTCTATATTGGATGTTGACCTCATCTATAATGACCTGTCAAGCCCGCAAGATAATCAAGGAATAAAGTGACTAGATGAACATCCAATCTTCACCCCACTCATAGACATATTCGATCCATCGTCGAGATGACCCTTCCATAGCTCGACGAGCCCAAATCTTCTCAAGCACCTTCAAGGCATTCGTCACATTGTGACAGCGCCATAGTGTCCACAGATGTCCAAACACATCAGTAATGAGTTCCCTTTGAGACATTGTTTGTGCCTCAGCGCCAATGACAAATGCAGGCCATAGGATGCCTTTGAGATGGACATCCGCGGGGTCCATAGATTTGAGATGGTAAAGGATCGAATCCAGTGAATTGCTGATTCTCCCTTCTCTGAAAACATCGCTTTCGAAAGGAACTGGGAGAAGTTGCAGCGCGTATATCTCGACCGCTGCTTGCCAGACACAGGCAAGTTGATATCTTGGTTTCATGTAGTGAATTTCCGCACCCGCAACTGCCCACTTCATTGGAGAGAAGTTCCGCAGATGGGAGAAAATGTTGTCAATCGAATCCGGTGGCATTTCGTGAGAGCACGAAGCAGCCGCATTCACGAGAGAAAGCACGTAGAGAAGGGTTGCGGGGCACCCGGTCCATGTCTGGGACTCAGAACGCTTCAAGATGTCGAGAGTAGGGGACATCGAGAAGAGCGGCTGATAAGGCTGTTTGGCCTTCACAAATGTCGACCCTATGATTTCAAAACTGTAACATCGAATTAGCGACCATTGCTGTATGGGACCCAGACTGGGACCTACTTACATCGCGTAGCTCGTGTCAAAGTATTCGCTCATTTGAGGCAAGTCAGCGGCCAATTCTCCATCCCTTAAGAGGGCGAGGGATAAGCCGCGTTTTGGCATCACTTCTCTCAGTCCACGAAGATGGTATCTCCAAGTATCTCGTCCAGAATCCATGAGCTCGAACCATATGGACATTATCATGGACGCAATGACACCGTCCGGATTACTGAAGCATCCCGCATATGCTTCGCTTCTCAAGAAGCTGAGAGTTCGCTGTTTGTGGTAAAGGGCATCGTGATATGATGCCAGCTGGTGCGGATGGTGCACCTGCTCAACCCATTGTGATATTTGTACTTCATTTGGATTCGACTTGTATGCCATAGACTTTTCGTTGTATTGAGCTGATGCGATTCGGAAGGCCTGATGTAGAGCTGCGACTGACACCACCGCGTGGCATAATCCCGGACATGATGGAATCAATCGAATGAACTCCTTGAACGGATTTGCCCGCTCGAAATCATATAGCACGCATTCCTGGCAACACTGTTGCTCAACTGATCTTCAATCAGCCAGTACTCAATTGGCTCAAGCACTCCCCTTACAATAAGCAATATAGTCTCGCATTGACGGAGACAAATCCTGCAAGGCAGGATCATTCAGGACCCTGCTGATTGGGAGGTGTTGCTCTTGACGTGGCACCTTCTTGCCCATTAATTTGCCGCGGCTTGCCACACTGTCTGTCCATCGCAGAGGCTTGTCTTTGCTGTATCCCAGACAGGGTCGCTGTGAAGATGTGCATTTGCCACAGATGGGGAGTGCTCGGTCGCACTTGAGGCGTCGGCGACGACAGGTCCAACAAGGAACATCGACACAGTTCGCAGCAGAGGTATTCATACTCATTGAATTCCAGAAGTCTTTTGGTGATCGTAAGAAAAGTGAGAGTCCGAGTCCTTTGAACGTACGTAAGGGTACCGATCATAGATCGCGCTATTCCTAGGAAGGAAGCCAAGACGCAAGTTTCCACATTTGTCGAAAACGAGGGTCCAGCGGATATCTGGCACAACCAATGGAATCACACAAAAGGTCTCAATTGGAGGTCGCATCAGGTGACCGCCCGTAGTCCTTGCATCAGTTACTGCAATGGTAGACCTCTCAGAAGCAAGTGTCAGGGAGTTTTCCAGACTGTAAGTTGAATTCCAACTCTGGGGATGGTGTGTCTAAAGGTTCCATTATTCGACGCACTTGCGACTATTGTCTGGTTCTGCTATCTAAAATTTGGCGTCGGGGACCCTGCAGAATGGTACAAGCGGAGTCGGGCGCTTAATAACCCCAATAGCTTGTCGGAGCTGAGACGCATTAGTGTGAATATTGGGAATCTTTTTTTTGAGTCTCTGGATTTCCAGCAGAGGCGGCCAAATCCATCAGAATCCAGTACCGCATGTCGATATGTAGATCTCATGGGACGCATTGGACACTGGGGGTTATTCCGCCAGTTAGGCGCGGTAGGAGCGCTGTTGCTTTATGGGGCTTTGGAGGCTGTTTCTCCTGTACAAGCCTCAGCTTAAATAGAATAATGACCTTCTAGGAAGCTTTTTACGAAGTAGCGCAGATAGACAATGCCTGAACTTAGGTCTTGCCTGTGTAAACGTACAGTACCGAACGCAATAAAATTCGGTCCCCAGTCGACTTGAAATTAACTCAAGAATTGGTAGTACATAAAACGCATATCCATTCTATCTCTGTGGACGGCACAGCTACGTTCCAATTTCACTCATATCTAACCTTATTGACCAAGCTCCCAATCCCCTCAATCTCAACCAAAAACTCATCCCCATCTCTCAAGACAACCCTTGGATTCCTAAAATAACCGATTCCCGCCGGCGTCCCAGTTAGGAGAATCGTACCCGCTTGCAAGGTAGTTCCCTGCGATAGATATGAAATCTGCTTCTTGGTAGAAAAGATCATATCCTTGGTGTGGCCATCCTGGACAACGCTTCCATTATGGATACCTCGGATCCGAAGGGTCTGCGGATCAGTGATCACGGATGGTGAGACAAGGACGGGGCCTACCATATTTAATTTAATCAAGTTAGTCAAGGGAAACGCAAATCCCAGCGGCACGTATTATGAGAAGGCAGGTAGGTAGTTACGTCGGGCACTAAGCTCGGGAGGACAGAGATGAGAAACATACCATTAGGACAGCTCCCATCTAACCTCTTGGAAAAACTCCACTGAGCAGTAGCCATTTGCAATGCTCTCGCGGACACATCATTGAAGCTGTATAGCCCAAGACGTAATCCAATGCTTCAGCCTCTAGGATATCTCGACCCGTCTTACCAATGACGACACATAATTCGGGTTCATAGTCACTCGTGTCATCCTGCGCACATTTCGGAATATTAATGGTAGCCGGGTAAGGACCGGCCAGTGCAGAGCGCGGCTTGGTGAACGAGATTGGGACTTTGGGGAGGGATAGTTTTGCCTCATTAGCATGGTCGGTGTAGTTGAGGCCTAGGCAGCGGATGTAGTTGCATTGCGTGGGATCAACCGGGGAGAGGATCTGTATTCCATTTCAACTTAGCACAGGTTAGGTGAGATTAGGTTACAGGCTTAGGTACCTTTTTCACACGATCTTATCCGTGACACATCCATCGAAGATACTTCCCTCGATCAGGTAGACGAGGATGTCGACGCCATTGACGGTGTCTTTTCCCATATCGCGGTCTGTGTCGACTAACTGGCTGAGGTGGATGTGGCTGTCCTCGACCGCGACAAAGCGTACAAGATGTGACCAAGAAGACATTTTGGTGTTCGCTGAATTTCCCGGTATACTTCCAACTCGTTAAGACACTGATATAAGCGGTGACCTAAGTCTTTCTACCATATACTACTCCATTAATTGCTTATGCATCTATTCGTACACCAAGCGGGACGACGCATTTCCGACAGCAAAACTGGGGCTTAGCGGGACGTGGGACGTGGGACGTGGGACGATCCCGCCACCTGAATGTTTAATGAAAATGTGAATTGGGGGATAATCCATTAAAATTACCAAGCGCGCTATACAATGGCCCTATCAGCACCTTGCACCCCCTTTTCAGGCGCCTCCATGGAAACGTCTAATTCAATCCGCGCATACGAACGCTGGGCTTCCAGTCGAGTCAGCGGGCCCAAACATAGGTCCAATTGTTAACACGAATGGACAAAGCAGACTGAAAGACTAAAATATTCTCAACATCAAGCAATTTTCACAACCAACTCAGAAGCCGTGACCTCTTACCTGGGCCTGCTGCCATACTCGCACATTACCTCGGTGCCAGGTAGGACATCTTGTTTCATAGTGAAGGGGGGAAATGGGAATGAAAGTGAAAAGAAAGGAGCTATTTTGCCTGTATATAAAAAGCAGCCTAGGCATTATTTATGTACAGTTTATTTGCCTGAGTTTCGCGGACCCACAAATTCCACGGTCTCATGACTGACCATCGCGTCATCTGCGTTGCAGCGAACAGCTCCGAGTCTTGCAAATAATACAATGCCTCACTATCCTTCAATGGTGCAGTGCCGGCAGCGAGTTGAAGGGTGAGAGAAGCAGTTTGCACCCGCGCATTCTCAGCCGTATAGATGGCTCTAAAAACACTCTCTTCAATTCCCCCACCAACAACAGTAAAGCCGTGCCCTCGCATCAGAACTACCGAGTGGGAAGAGTTTCCGCTGCCCTCCGAGAAGCACGCCGATAGATGTTTCCCTAGCCGTTGGTTTCTGATCAGGAGATCGCGGACATCCTCTTCTGAATAAAACTCTGCAATGTCGAACTTGGGGACACGGTTTCCTGGTTAGGAATAGAGCAAGTAAGTATAGCCTCTCAATCAGCTTACGAGCTATAGTGAAGAAGACTAACCTAGAAAGCCTCCCATATGTACGCATGGACGTAGTTCAACACCTGCATGGAGTGTCAGATACCATACCGACGAGGATTGCCGTAGTTGGTTCTATGAACCTATTCAAGCCGGTCTTCTCTGGGATATTACACAGTAAATCGAAGAAAATAGATCAAATACCTGTAATGGTGAATGGAAGAAGGGCGGGTGAGTGGCTGTGGACCACGCTATGAATCTCCGGGTAGCGTTTGTATATCTCACTGTGGATGAAACGCTCGACATAGCCAGGTGGACTATCGGGGTCAACGGGGGAAGCATCCTCTACCCGATATTCCACGATGTCGGCTCTCGAAGACATGAGTGCGGGAGCCATGTTGCGAGGCATCAAAAAGGTGCTCGGTTGCTCTGGGTGCCGCACGGAAAGGTGGCCATACGCATCGAGGACCCTGTAGATGACAGTAAGCCCGTTATCCCACAATAGTATTCAGGAAGCGTACCTATGATGATGAAGAATATGGGACCCGCTGATGAGCGTGTGGAAAATGGACGGCGTAGAAGGGGTACCGCTTGTCGCCATTTCCTCATCTAGCTTTGCGTACAAAGTACAACTTTTGTAGAACTGAGCTCCCACGAAAGAGCGATATTCCTGGGAGAAGCAGTTGGTGTGACCAGGCTGTTTGGGGTTTTTGAGGTGGCAGCATGTTCAATTTGTTGGGCTATTTGCTCATCCCTGACTTCAAGTGACAACCGATCCCAGCATGGCAGCTCAGGGTAGACAAGAAGGGGTCTATTTCTCCATCCGACCAGGCGACAGACCGTGGACAAGCAGGTCGGTCGTCTGGACCGGACATAGCACAACCCGCAAAATCCGAGCCCAATCCAGAACGTCCCGCTATGGCTAATCTCAATGAGTGGTAATGGGGAATGTACCAGCTGCTCTCCTCTTTTCGGTAGACCTCTTTCGAATTCTACCAGATTTGATATTTGCAGATATTTGAACAGCCACTATGTTACTAAAACCATATAAAACACTAAAAGAAATTAGTAGAATAGGGGGGAAGTATTCTCTTAGTAAATTCACCTTTATAGAAGAAAGAAATTCCAACTGTTTATTATGCTGCTGCTATCTTTGACATTCCTTATATAACTCTCTAAAGTTAAATTAATGGATGTAATTATCAAACTAAGAAGCAAACTCCTCCTTGTTGTACTGTTCGATAACTACATTGCTTTAATGTTAAGGCAGTAGAAGTTACAAAAACACCAGTCTTCCATTTGCACGCTACTCTATCCAAATTCAAGCTCGCCTATATCACCACACTGCATAACGGATTTACAATGTATGATTAAACCACGCCACCGCTTGCGCGAACGCCCGTTCCTTCGAAAACCGAACTCGAGGCTGGCTAAGGTCTCCCCGAATAGCGAACCCGTGAGAGACCCCGCTGAATAAATTAATCTGGAATTCCTGTCCAGTGCCGATCAGAGTCTCCTCAGATGCGTGGCGGTTCGCCATGGTGAAGATAGCGTCGTGTTCTGAAAAGGCCAGTGAGTTAACCAGGCATGGCAAGAAGTAATCGGGCAGGGCATGGGAGGCAGATGATACCTGCAGCAGAGATGGAGAGAGGCCTCTGAATCGCGCTCAATTCCTCTTTCGTGACGAATGACGGATGAGCGATGTAACCGGAGTCCAGTTGTCCTACCTTGAGGTACCGGACGACATACTTCAGATGAGTAAAAGCAGGGGATCAGCGCGGCTCTGCCAGAAGTATCCAGAGTCTCGGAGATGAAAGACATTAAAGCCGTACCTTGCCACCAAAGCAGTAGCCAGCCGCAGCGACTTTTTGCACGCGCAGGACTGTCCTAAGGTGCTCGTTTGTGGCCTCGACAATCGGGGCTACATCATCAACTGTGTGGCGGGAGAGCCAAGCGCCCACGTCGATCGTCTTGGCGTCATAGTCTCCGATGTTGACCTGATCCCCATTGAACAAGTCAGGGAGTACGGCCAGGTACCCGTTCGCGGCAAAGGCATCTGCCACAAGCTGGCTGTTGGGGAAAATGCCAAATATGTCGCTCAACAGAATGACTGCTTTGTTTGGCTTTTCGTCACCTTCAGGGTGGGCAATGTAGGCTCTGACTGTTCGTAATTAGCGAGTATCCATCAGCTGAATGATTGGACGTACTGTTGTTGATCTGTTTTATCTCCCCTTTGGGGTCCCCCTCGTGGAGAAAGCCGGTGAAGCAGCAGCTTCCTGAGATTGAAGATGCCATGGTTACAACGCACGGAAAAGCGATAGCTAGTATACATGGCGAGTAGGGGTAAAATATATCATTCAGAATGAAATGGAACGTGGAGTTACTAAAGCCGAGATTTACCTGGCGAGGCCCAACGCCCAAGTTCAAAAGCCGCTCCATTACAATAGTCCCCTAAAGGTCCCGCAACGGAATACCGCGCCAAAACATTGTGTGGGGTTTCTATACGTTCATTTTGCGCCCGCGGTATGATGGGCGGCACTATGATACCACTGAAGCAACGTAAGATACAAACTCAAGCTCCCCCAAGGGAGCCGGGTGGCCTGCGACTTTTGTGCATGAAGTTTGTCAAAGAGGCTGGTAACCTTGGTGGATCTGACTTTGTACACCCCTAGTGTTCAGGATGAGGGCAGACTGCTGTTAGCGCTTTGCGCAAACAGAAGATCTCTTCAGTCTCATGATAAGTCCGACCCGCCGTCTCAGGGCGAAGAATAGGCACACAGTATTCATAATTATAAAAAAATGCAACTCTGCGGGACTATACCAGTATTAGGCCCGGCGAACTAGTCCGGAATGGCCACTCGGTTAAATTTGCATGACACATATGTATATATATATATATATATGTATAGTTTTGGGATACCATAAGGCTTACTTCAATGAACTGTATGAAAGTCGGGTAGACTACATCAGTTTCTAGAAGATGCAGAAACTGTTGCTTAATTTAAGATACAGGTGGAAACATCGATGTTCGTGGAGACATAAGTGCTGCATATATCGGCTCAGACTCACTGCCGAAACTATAAACGTACCCCCTTCAATACTGCTGCAGAAGATTCACCTCAGGAAGGTAGTCAGCTGCTAGAGTCTGATGTATGCAGGTCCGTGAAAGCATAGCAAACTGATGCAGCGGCTGCTGGAGTAATTTTCGGTGGGCATCCTGCAGAAGCTCTTGAAGCGAAGAATATAGCCCTGCCACCAGCCTTTGGTAGTACCCCTGGAGTGAGCTATCATCACAAGCACATACAATGTTCATGGCAACAGAGAACGCGTGCCAGGGGGCAAATAATCGCACGTACCACCGGAAGGGCTCGATCCGGGGATCCTGGTACATGTTGTTGAGAGCCTGTAGGAAACTGGTTGCTAACGAGAGTAAGGTGCTTGGAGATATAATATCCTGAGAGAAGTAGCCCTTGGCGGTCCCCTGCACAGGCTTTACAGCCACCAGCTGTAGAAAAGCGTGGGTAACCTCCACAAGCTGTTCCAGGAACAAGTGGAAAGGGATTTTATCTGGCAGCAATCCCTTTAGGAGTGCTTGAGAATTCCGCTGAAAGGTAGCAGCGATTTGCAAACGACAATGGATGTCAATGCTGGTCGTACACAGACCTGCAATCCCGCCATAATTCAGAGAGCGGAATGCATGCTGTCCTTCGGCCATAACCATGATAAAGGTTGGGTCTGCGAGGGAGCTTGGTCCAGAAAAAGGCGAGCTATTATCCTTGGGTGGCGCAAAGAAATCAAGAAAGTCTATTGCCGGGGAGATCTGTTCCCTAAGGGAATCAGGCTGGAGCATTGGCGCGGAACCATGGTTAAAGGAGGCTTGGACATCTAGCAACGATATTATATGCCACAGACGGCGGCGCATTTCACGTTCTAATGGCGTGACCATGAATGGCGGGTCGGAAATGTCAAGGAGGAGCGACTGGGCAATCCTTAGCGCTAGGCTTAGCATTGTCCATGCCCTTCGGCTCTGGTCATGCGCTTGAATCGATACCTGCATGATAGCGAGTTAGTGGTCGGGAGTATACATCCTAAAAACATGGTAGAAGATACCAGAAACAGCACAAAGGCTTGCAAGACAGCAATATCATCAGTATTGATATAATCAGCATGTTCGAGAGCACGCTTAGTCCAACTGTGATACTTATTAAGGAGAAAATCACGAGAAGAGTCGAACTCTTGATGGCATCGGTCATTGCTGAGTGTCGTGATTGTCATGTAGCTGATAGCACAGACTAGAGCCCTAGGAGCAGGATGGTCTGCAGCATAAGTGAGGTATGGCTCCCCTTGCGTAACGTGGGCCCATAGCGACGAGCACTGCAAGAAGGGAAATATGGGATCGACCTGCATTATGTAAATTTGCAGCAGGCGAGAATCATCGCCCTCCCTGGGCGCCACATCGTTTGGGGATATATAATGCTCCTGGCTAGTACTCGGGTAGTTGAAGCCGTCGTGCTGACTGCCCGCTGGCTGGATAGCACCGTCTAGCGACGGATTGCCTGGGCCCAGGGTATCCACACCACTCCAAGTAGAACCCACATTTAGCGATTCGCTATAGTTTAGATCCTCGAGACTAGACTCTGTCTGGCTGGTAAGCAAGTTATGAACCAGTCCCTCGAGCATTGAGACGCGGTTTGATAAATTCGGCATCTGGACATGGGGCATCATTTCCTCCTGAAAGCGCTTCTTCTTCGTCTTCGCCGAACGTCCCCGCGGGAGCCGAGTCCGCTCAACAGGGACACACTCAAAACTGGCTTTGCGGCAGCTCGTGCAGGGATAGAGCTTGTCACACTTGACCTTGCGTCGTTTACATGTCTCGCAGGTGAGCCGGGCACCAAGGCCCAATGGAAACTGGCTCATATTGATCCAAACTAGTCGCAGATGTTGTCAAGAGATGGTGACAGGCACGATTGACTTGGACTCTTGTTGAAAAGCTTTAAGGGGATGGAATGAGGGGGCCATCGGTGGCGATCGCTCCGAGCCGCCGATCGTGGTCCCCAACCGCGAATCAATACTTAATCAACCACAAAGTTAAGTTACGTACTAGACTCCTGTAGCCCTAGCTGAAACAAAGACAAGCTTTCCTTGTTGCTTCCTGGACCGTGTCTGTGACCCTAACACACACAAGTAGAACCAGGAACGAGGTAAAAAGACAAAGACAGACTAGGCCGCCAGTAATGACATCAAGACTCTCTCCGTCGAGTCACTATATACGGGAATACCCCAACTCTGCTTGCTTCCTGGTAACTAGGTTGCGACTAGCCTTTGATGGGGTAAAAAATATACTAAGAAGTGATTGATTGAATCCAATAATAATCCATCTTAGAAGAATATTCTTAAAAATATCAAAAATCTTCGAGGTTTAGTTATTGTATGATGACTCTTTTCAGCATGCGCCATGCGAC